AGTGTACACTATTCGAGTGGTAAGAACGATAAAAAAAATATATCATATTGACAAGGATTGTTATAACAAAAACACTCCATAAATCCTTAAGAAATATGTGACCAAATACAATATTTTTTAGCTAAACTACTTAACAATAAAGTAAATTGCACAAGTGAAATAACACTCGAGAGAAGTTAGAGTATGTGAGAGAAATGACTAAAGGGAAACATAACAAAAACAACTCAATGAGGAGAAAAATGCATACTATACTGCTAATAATTGAAGTTTGCTATAACTGCTAGCCAAACAGATGTGGTATCTTTCTAGATTACCAAGATTTCACGTAACTCTCATTTAGATTAAAAAATTATCAAAACAATTGTAAGTTATACTAAGTGGATCTTATTCCTAAGCACCCACTCTCTATATTAGACAATAGATCTAGTATAAATCTTTCATATCCTAGTAATTTCGTTCGAAAACTAAAAGGATTTTTAATTCAAACAGAAACAACTTCAATGTCGAATATCAATGTTTACCAATACGAGCTCTTTCCCTCTTAGGATTGATGATGAATGCTTAGAGGCAGCCTTCATTTGAAGTTTTAATATCACTCCTAAAATGTGTAGTGCAACAATCTTTAGGGTAAAATGGGGTCCATAAGCAACAATAGCCCTTTTTCATTTATTGTAGTAATTTCTCGAGTAAAAGCTTGTTGTCACTTTCAGTTCTCAAATTCTAGAATTAGCTCCAATGCTCCTGTATCTACTGTCCTGCCACAAAATACTCACAATCAGAAGCTTTCATTATATTCTACAATATACAACACAAAATTAACTTTTATTTGAATAAGCTTGTTTTAAGCCTGGGATACGTATAATCAGAGCTAAACTTTTTTCAAATACTTCTCCATCCAAGGTCATTTTCTCCTAAAATAATTCTCTTACGGATAGTTACCAGCAAGGATGATAGTTTGACCCTCGAGCACTCTCGTGAAAGGTCCATCAATCTTTCGTTTTTCTCTAAAATGCTAGCTATTTTTCTCTCAATTTCTCTCTCTCCCTCCTCATGGTCTCTCTTGCTTCATTTAAAACACTAATTTTCACAAGTTCATACTTATTACACCATATGAGACTGAGTTCGATAACGAAGTTCAAAAAGTCTCCCACGAATCCAGAAATGTACCAAGAAGTCATAATCCTTGTATTTCATTTTCAAACTTGATATTCATTCTAGCAAGTTGATTAATGATACTTTGGAACGAAGTCAAGTGATCTAAGATAGGTGTTTCATCTTGATACTTCAAAGTCATCATTTGCTTGATCAGAAATAGCATATAATTACTCAAGCTTGTTCACCATAGTTTGTACATGGTGTTTCTTCATCAATATGATTTAGAATATTTTCTTCTACCCAAATCTTTATAAAGCCACATAGACATATTTCCCATTCTAAATTAGTTTTATCTTCAAGCTTTCTCAGGTGAAAAAAATGGAAAGATAGAAATCCTTCATAGGTAGAACATATTCCATTTTTATTTTCAAACTTGATAATTTTAGTCTTCAAAATTACCATTCTACTTGTACTAGTTTTTATTATTCAACACGAGGTTTAATTAATTACAACCTAACTCTGATACCACTTTGTTGGGATAAATATTTAATTTTATGGATCAATTATCCTCTATTGTGTGAACCTAAGAAGAAATAGCAAATAGAAATAATTTGAACAATCACAAGACACAAATAATTTTAATGTAGAAAAACCTCCTCAAGGCAAGGCGGGTAATAAAAGAACCACGGACCTAAGTCAAAATCTCAACTATAATCGATAATGGGCTACAACAAACTTTCCTAACGACAAATACAGACATACATATCTTGAGACAATAAATCTCGACAAATACGGAAAGGAAACAATACAAGAGAAGAAAATTAGAAAAATCTTTCTTTTTTCTTTAATGTGACACCCAACTATCTATTGTATCTGACTGTAGGCGAGTTCTAAAACAAATCTCTACCGTCCCGATCGAAGAACCTAGTATTATTGTAAATACGGTGTCAAAATTTCAACTCCATCACCACCGTTCGACCTCAACCTCTAAAGATGCTGAAAATATCTATATACGGAATCCCTTTCTTTTCTATTTTTCTCTCAATTTCTCTCCCACCCCACCTTCTGGCGGCAGCAGCATATTAATCACACAAAAAATAGAAAGGAAAAAAAAAAAAAACTTGTGGCCCACTAACGGGGCCTCTAATTTTGAACTTTGATAAAGTATTTAGGAATAGAAGTTTTTGACATTTTGAAATAGAGGAATTGTCACGGTCATATCATAAATTATATTCCACAGATAGCTATATTTTTAAATTTTACAAATCTGAAATTTTCTATTAATTTCAAGATTGCATTCAATTATTATTATATTATTTAATTAAATTTGTATTTTATTTAAATTATTAGATTTGATTCTCATTGAAAGTTCCCAAATTATCATTCAAAGTTTCCAAATTTATATTTTCTCTATTAAATATTATATATTCAAAATTCCAATAATCAATCTACTCATCCAATTTATTCCCTTATTTTTCCCTATTTAATGATAATCTCTAAATCCTTCTATTTATAATAAAAAAATTTCTCAATATTAATTTTGTCGGAATCTGTCACCTGCCATTACAATTTTTTCATTTCTCCTAACCATACACTCTTTTAATATTTTCAATTTTATAATTGTTTAATTTTTCGGATTTTCTGGAGTATATTTTTTTTTCTGACGTTCTTTTTCTAACGTTTTCTTTTAACATTTTTTTTGCAATATGATAAATATATACTCCTCCAAAATGTTATATAGTATATAACTTTTATTAGTTTATACTAAAGTATTAGATTATATAATATATTCCGACTCTTAAATAATAGATTTTTCCTTTTAATCTTCTAATACACAGTATACATATACTTCTCATTATATATTAAACTAGAAGGTTATATAATATATACTTTTTTTTATCTAACTTATAGTATACCTCAATAGGTTATATAATA